TATGCTGGAGCCTCGGCAGCTCTGGGGTGGGTTCTTTGCACCAGACTGTGGTATCTGCTCTTCCTTTGGGAGGGTGCAGAATAAGGGGGTACGGCACACCCCCTCGTGCCAGGCCTCCCTTCCCTGGCCCAGGAGTAGGAATACGTGTGTGGACATTGATCTTGCAACCCCGCCAGTGCCCTGGCACCTGCCTCACAGCCTCCCCGATGCCCAGCTCCCGCTGCCTCCCCACACAATGAGGAGTTCTGTTCTCCGCACCGCCCCTGACATGTGGCAGCGCGCTGCCCTGGGGCGGCCTGCATGTGTCTGCGAGGTGAAAACAGACGTCTCTTGTTGGCGATCTGGAAACCAAACCAAACATTTGCTGAGCTGCCTGTTGTCTTACAGCCCAGCCAGAGGTACAACATTGCCTGGCCCGGCAGGTGGTGCGGAAGGGAAAGAGGCTGCTCTTGAACTGGAGGGGCTTCACCTCTCTGGGCCTTAATTTCTCTACCAGCCAAATGGGAGTCTAATTCTTGCCTTGCCGTTGGGAGCGATGAGATGACACAGAACTTACGTCTAGAAAGGTAAAGCAGGGCCATCCCCAGTGGCGCAATGGATTTGGACCCAGCACTGCAGGCTGGCCGCAGCCACTTCAGTGCGAGTTCGATCGCCACCCTGGAGCTGACCCACATGGCACAGCAGACCTCTCCTGACCCGCCCACTGCTCCCCTCGGCAGTGTACTTCGTCATTCTGCCTATTCTGCTCCCCACTGTATCTTTGGTGAATCTTCTCACTGTCCCTGCACCTCTGGCCTGTACTCCAGTTTCATATGCATAAATAAATAAATCTTTAAAAAAGGTAAAGCAGGTGCCTCCCTGGTGGCACAAGGGGTTACATCTCAACACTATGGAGCTCTCCACAGCCACTGCAACACGAGTTCAATCCCTGCCCCAGAGGTGACCCACATGGCGCGGCAGACCTCTCCTGTCCCACCCACTGCTCCCCTGAGCAGTGTACTTCATCAGTCGGCCTGTTCTGCTCCCCACTCTGTTTCTGGAGAATCGTCTTACCCCTGCAGCTCTGGTCATTACTTCAGTTCTTGTATGCACAAATAAATAAATCTTTTTTAAAAAAAGAACTTGAAAATAAAGAAGAAAGGTAAAGCAGCCCCGAGCATCCTTGTCCTGGGAAGTTTACTCAAATGCAAGTGTCATGAAAGTATGGTTTGTCCATAGACTCGGGGGTCGTGTGGTCCACCCCATTTTCCCAAACCAGTGTACCACCTCCGTCCTTGCTTCCCCCTCCCCCACACTCCCTCTTCCCCAGCCCCTTCCTGGCCTCCTCCACAGACACCAGCGTCCCTGCCCGGCTGGAGGAATTGGCCCCAGCCGGCTCGGGGGAGTGCCTTGGGCACCTTCATTCTGCTTTCTGTGCCCTGTGTTTTCAGAGTAACAGTCGTATCTGTGAACAAGCACCAGGCCAGGAATAGTCTCCAGGCCCTCCCGTTGTTCCCACATGGTTTACACACTGGGTGCATATACATTTCTGCCCCATCCAAAGAGGTCTAGAGAAGCCTCTTCGGTGGGCAAAGAACTCCTTGTGAGTCACCATGCAAGTGACAGGTTGCCAACCGTTCTAATCCTTGTTGCCTCTGCTGAGACGACTCTCCATCGTGCCCAGGAGCACCAGGAAGGTGAAGACTCCAGGCCAGCCAAAAAAAAGCAGCTGCTAAGCCCGGGCCCTTGACTCCTCTCCAGTCCCTTCGGTGGTCCCTGTACTCAGGGGCCACTGTCTACCGCCTGGGTCAGCAGGGTGGGCCGGGAGGTTTATGGCAGACCGTCAGTGCTCCGCTCTCTGCCTCTCCCCAGGAAAGGCACTTTTATAGCACCCCAGGTGAGGAGAGGCCCCCAGGAGTTCCCAGAGCAGAGGGGTCACGGCTGAGTCTGGGCCTCACTACCGGAACCTCATCCCTCCGGAAAGAGCCCCCTCCCTCTTGCAGAAGGCTCACTGCCATTAGTAACTGCCTATAGGCAGAATTAATTAGTTTTTGTCATTCTAATGGTTCGCAAGGGTGGCATATTTTTTTCTCCAAATGCAGATATTCTTTTGAAGACTTGTGTATCTTTTGCAGAAAATCACTAAATTAAAAGAATTGCCATTTTAAATTGCAGATTAAGGAGAAACTTAATTAGAAGGAATGAAAGCAGTTGTGTTCAGAGCTTTTGTTCTTAATATTTTTTCCTCCTTGTGCTGCTGAATCACTGCACTTGGAGTTTGTATATTTTTATTTTAGGTGAAGTGATTTGCCTAATTAAGCCTGTCATTCATCACCACCTGTTCCCTCTGAAATATATAGCTATATTATTAAGCTTGCAAGTGAATGTATAAATTAATTCAGCGGGGAATTACAGTGTTGACTAGGACATTATTAGGTTTTATCCAATTTATCTGGTATGAAAACCGATATTTTTCCCCAATAAAGCAAAACAGCAGCTCATTAAGTTTCTCCAGTCATTTGTGGAGTACTTACTATGTTTAAGGCATGTGCTAAGTGCGGGGGGCAGGGCAGACATGATGCAGCCCCTGCCTTCTAAAGGCTCGTGGCGACCAGGAAACTGGCAATTGGGGTGCCATAGGCTAAGTAAGATACAGGTGAGTCTGGGGAGAATGAAGTCAGGGAAGGCTTCCTGGAAGAGGTGGTCCTGGAGGGCACGTGGAGTCAGTCAGGTGGAGAGACTGATGGTGGTAGTGGGGGGAGGGGAGTCACAGCAATTCTGACAGATGAGACACAGCCTGGAAGGAGACTTGGTCAGACCCGAGACTAGCCAGGAAGTGAGGTCCTAGAGCCACTTTGGCCCTGCTGAGGAGGCTGGGTTCATCCCCCAACGCATGGTCCGTGCTCCTCCTCACCCCTCTTCTCTTCTGTGCCAATAGCGTGTTACAGGGTTTTGTATTGGCGGGAACCCCCAAATTTTTATATTAGCCAGGGAACCCTAGGTTGTCAGAGGTGAAAGTACCTTCCAACTCACCTTGTCCCTACCTCTCCTCAGCTTGTGGCAAATATAAGACTAGCGCCTTGTCCCCAAAAGCCCCTGCCCACACCGTGCCATCAGCTGCCTCTTGCACTGCCGACAACTGGAGCTTCAGCAGCGGGGACCCATGGTGGCTAAGGCACGCAGGTCTCAAGCTCCGCACATAGCCCCTGACCTCTGTCCCAGTGGACATCACATAGGGTCTTCCCTGATTCCCTCATGAGTGATCAGGACCTGCTGGCATCACCTGCTATGTCTTCCCAGGAGGACAGTCTCCCACCTCCTCTCCAGGGTGGCCCCCAAACCCACCTCTATTTCCCTGGATCACGGCTGGCGCATCTCTAGGTTGGTTGGCCTCTACCCTACTGTCTCACCGAGTTTGAGTTTGCTGTGGCTCCTAATGCCAGCCTGTCCTTCCCGTGCTCAGGCTAAAAGCCTGCGTCACTCTCCCTCCGCTGTCTCACACTGCATGCAGGGACAGGCCTGCCGTCTCTGTCTGCACAGGGGCCAGAAGCTGACCACTCACACACCGCCCCCACCCACACCCAGTGCCACCAGCGGCAGCTTCCTTATTGCCCCCTCCAGTCGCTCTTCTACTTTAATTAATAGACTTTTAAAAAATATTTATTTATTTATGCACACAGAGCTAGGGTACAGGCGAGAGGTGCAGGGGCTGTGAGAGGCTTCACCAGAGACAGAGTGGGGAGCAGAACAGGCTGACTAAGTACACTGCTGAGTGGAGCAGCGGGCAGGTCAGGAGAGGTCTGCTGTGCCATATGGTCACCTCCTGGGCAGGCGGGGATCGAACTCATGCTGAAACTTCTTAGTGCTGTGCTTTAACCCGCTGTACCACCAGGGAGGGCCTAATTAATAAACTTTTATAAAGAGCAGTTTCAGGATCACAGCAACATTGAGAGTCCTGAGAGTTCCCATTGATCCTTACCCTTTATCTGTTCCGCATAGCAATTTGCTTTTTTAGTTTTTTTTTTTTTTGAAGATGCCAAGTCAAAACCTTCCCCAGCAAAACATCAAAGCATCCACTTTTCTCAGAATAAAACCAGACTCCTCCCCAAGACCCCCAAAGCCTCCGATCTGGCTCTGCTCCCCCTCTCCCCACCCCCTCCTTCACTTCTGGAGTTTCACAAACACCTAACCTCTCCCCACCTCAGGGCCCTTGAACTTGCTTTTCCCCTAGGCATGGTTTGTCCTTCCTGCAGACTTCCACATGGCCTGTCCCTCCTTTCCTTCAGGAATTCATTCAGATGTCACCTTATACTAAATAAAGAGGTCTTCCTGCCCTGCTTTACTTTCCTGCAACGCCCTTCCCTGCAGCTGGTATGCTTCAGATCTCACTTCACTCATTGCCCCTCCTACGTGAGGCTGGGTTTTGTCTGTTTTCCCACTGCTGTTTTTCCCATCCTGAACTGTGCCTGGCACAGTGAGTAGGTGTTCAGGAGTGGGATAGCTGGATGGACTATCTACCTGCCAGACCCCGCTGCGGCCCACACGAGTGACCACACGCACGTCTGGAACCTTCCACTGGCAGGACCCTCTCTTCCCGCTGTTTTCCAAGATGGTTAATAGCGCAGAGTCCTCTTGGAGGAATGGAAATATTCCACAGTCCTAATGGGGACCTTGCTCAGTGGCTAGGCCAGAGGACAAGTTCACTCAGTACATAGCACATCACCCTCCCAGTACATAGCACATCACCCTAGTCAGGGCTGGGGCTTCCCACCACCCTTGTGTACTTGAGGTTGGTTGCTGTGTCCTGGCAGGGGGTGAAGGGGGCTGGGGTCTGGGGGTGTCAGAGGATGCCTCACCATGCCCTTGCTGTTGGCTGGAAGGTGCTCTCTCCTCAGTCCAAGTCTGGTACGCTTCTCCTTGCAAACTGTGAAGCTCCCAGTGGAACAGTCTGTTTCCCTACTACATGCCCTGGTAACTCCTTGGACTGAGCTCTCAGTAACTGCGCTTTCTCTCTCCCACAGCCCAGTTCAATGGCAACGAGAAGCGCCAGTCATCCCCCTCGCCTTCCCGGGACCGGCGGCGCCAGCTTCGAGCTCCTGGAGGGGGCTTCAAGCCCATCAAACATGGAAGCCCTGAATTCTGTGGGATCCTGGGAGAAAGAGTGGACCCTACTGTACCACTGGAGAAGCAAATGTAAGTTCAAATGGAACCATCCCAGGTCAAGGTCAAGGCCACCATCAGGTCAATGGCAAACTGGGGTCCGAGTGCACATCTCCCGACTCCCAGCCCCGTGCTTTCTCTCCACGCCCCACCACCCCCTTACTTTGATGACTACAAAATCACCCACACCAGCTGACCCCTCACTTTTACATTCTCGTTTCTAATTTCGTCGTGCAGCAATTGAGTTCTTGACAAGCTAAGGATATACTAAACCTGGCTTTCTACAGGAAAAACAATGGCAGTTAGATTTATTTCCTAGCCACGTGATGTGTACAAGGTCGATTAAGACCTTTGCACTCTTGATTGGCGTTTTCTCAGCCCCTCTCCCCAAAGACTTCCTATCTCCACTGTGCCCAAGCCCCATCCCTTGGCTATGATGACCAGCTCCCTCCTCTGCGGGGCTCTCATGGTGTCAGTTCCCCACTCTGCCCTGAAACCACCCCCGGGGAGGCAAGGGGGATGACTGGCACTTCTCGTTGTCATTGAACTGGGCTGTGGGAAGAGAAAGCGCAGTTCCTGAGAGGTCAGTCCGAGGAGTTACTGGGGGCATGTGGAACAGCAGACTGTTCCACATCAAGTCCCGCCTCACTAGCCTGCACCCCTCAGTCACCCTGCTCTCTGAGTTGCCCCCAGGCTGCCTTTTCACCTTCTCACCTTTTCATACGTCTAGCCTGGGGGAGGGGGCTTCTCCGGGAGCTTGATAATGCAGGTTCCTGGATCTGGTGCTAGTGCCTTCGTTGTATCATCCTCTTAGCAAGCCAGTATGTGATCAGTGGGGTCCTCCCCGTTGCCTGGATGCGTATATCAAGGCTCCGAGCAGTGCAGAGCTGTGACTGGGATCTCGCAGCTCAGAGTGCTACGGTAGGATTCGAACTCCAGTGTGGGACCCCACGTCACACACTCGCCTCGCTTCCCTCTCCTCGTACATGCCCGGCCCTGCGCCTGCACTCCGTCGGCCAAGAGAGTAGCAGCCAAGAGAGTAGCAGCCACGGAGCTGGTTCCTCGCGGGACTGTGTTGTGCGCATCACGGTCCTATACTCGCTTCCCCCGAGGTCCTGTTACAGCCGGCAGTGCACCCCTCACAGGAAGCGCTCGCTGGGTGAGCAGGATGCGAGGCTTCCCGAATGATGTCATGTGCTCGGGGCCCCTGTTGAAGCACGTGCTGTCATCCCAGGAGGCTGCAGCCTCCTGTGCGCCCACCCACGCCTGCTGTGCCCAGCACGCTGGCAAAACACTCCCAGCGGGTGTTGTGTTAATCCCTTCTCACAGCCACCCAGATTGGGTGGCAGGTTTCGCTCATTTCTGATCAAACTGTGCATGTTTTAATCAACAAACAAAATAACATCCAGAGCTGCCTGGGAGCATCCTGACCAGGTTGGCCTGGGTTCGGCTAGCCCGCCCCGACCCACCCACTTCCAGCCCATGGCAGAGCTTTCTCCGTTTGGGGGCCCCCGAGAGCAGTTCTGCCTGACAAGGCCTTGGCCCCGTCCAGTGTTATTCATGACTGCCTTTCCCTCCCCTATCGTCTCAACTCCCCGGGATTATTCTTGTCTGCCGGAGATCCTGACTCATCACCTGAGCGGTAACCTGCGTAGGTAAAATCCCACTTCCTGCGGAGCCTGGTTACCCAGGCAGAGAGGATCGCCTAATCCCCGACTTGGCTAGTTAACTGTGTCTGAGTTTTAGAGGCACTGATGGGCTGTCCCAGGTTTGAGGGTTGTCGACGGTGGGCTGTCCCTCCTATGACGCTGGGTGCCCAGGAACTCCCCCTCTGCCTCCTGGAGGCAGTTCCCACCCCCAACTCTGCCACCCTCCATCAACATTGCCATAGCATGTTTTGGCCCTGAGCTTCTTTAAAGCAAATAAGGATATAAAACAATCTTGACCTGACACCACCCCTCACCCCCAACCCCCAACTCTCGCCCCTGCTGAGAACATACGCCCCGTCAGGGCAGAAACAGGGCCCGGCACGTAAGTGGTGTTCAGTAAACAGCTGCCCGTTGGCTGAGCCAAGTCCCATTGAGCTGTCACACTTCTCTCCCACTCCCTCACCAAAAGCTGCTTCCCTTCTCGGTGACCACCCCTGTCGCCACAGCAGTCCACTTCCTCCTTTAGAGACTTTCTGTCCCGGTTTTTCTCCTGCCTCCTTTGGCCACACCTTCCTTCGTCTCCCCAGCTGACTCCTCACCTCAGCTTGACCTGGAGATCAGCTGTCCTGGTTACCAGCTGTGCACTGTGCTCCAGATCCAGTGACTCACCAGTGCGCAGCCCCAGATCACACCTCCCAGAACTCCCCGTGGCTACCTCCGGCTGCCTTCTCAGCATCTCCACTCAGCTGACGGATGAGCGTCACAGACTCGTGTAACTGTTCACACCTATGCGCCTCATCTTCTTCCAGACACTTGCTCCCCCTCCACACACACACACACAGGGCAGTGCTTCAGCCTCGCGGCTCACGCCACACCCCAGAGTCGCCTTGGTTCCTTTTCAGGTCTCACAGCAGCGTCTAATGCGTTGCCAAGTTCCGCAGTCCCCATCCGGAGAAGACCAGCTCCATCCGTTCCTCTTGTGCCCTGGGCCACCTTTGATCTGGACTTCTGTAGTAGCATCCTGACCTGGCTCCCAGTCCACCTCAGTGTGGCCCTCTTCAGGGCAGCCCGGGCCACCTTTACAAGATCATAAGCACTTACTATCTCTCTGTAAAACCCTCATTTCCTCGCTGAGGCCCTGTGCTTGGCCCAGGGCCTCAGGTAGCTGAGGTAGCTGGGCCCAATCTAGTGTCCTTTGGCCCACTTCTCCCACTCTCTGCCAGTCTCCTTCAACAGTGCCCTTCTCTCCATGTGTAGTAGCTGGAGCAGGCAGGGGAGGAGGCTGCAGTGTACCCCACTCGCCCCCTGGGGACTCACCCTAACGAAGCCCCAGAGCCCCCAGCCCAACTGCCAGCGCCTCGCCTCTGAGGCGCAGCTGGCTCCTGAGCTCGGGAAGGGGCAGTCTGTGAGCAGTCCTTCCCTGGAGACCGAGTCTGGGCCTTCCCCCAGGGATGACTCTGCTTCAAGCAAGGCGACATTTTTGTCAGCTTACTTACTGGGGGTTGTTCCACAGGTGAAACTTCCTGGGAAGCAACCCAACCTGACCAAATCTATTAGCACCTATTTCTCAAGTCAGCCCCGTCCTTGTGTTTCTCCCAGGCAGTCTTATGTCCTTCCTTATGACCACTGCGGTCTCCGACTTGGCCTTCCCCTTTACTTAGAAAGCGAGGTCGGTCTGTTACCGAGTCCAGCTGTGGGAGTGGCCACCTTCTGGGCAGTCAGCAGCTTGTCCTGTAGGTGTCCCAGTGAGCACCCTCAGATGGCTTTCCCAGGCCTCAGGCCGCACCTCAGTTGCACTCAGGCCCCCTGACGCAGCCCAGGCCCAAGGCCCTAGGTCTCACTGCCCGCCCTGCCCCCTTGCCTCACCCTCCTCGCTGTTTCTGAAACAGGCGCTGCCGCCTCAGACCTTTGCCTTCCCTACCCTTCCCTGCAACAGAAGCGCTCTTCTCCAGCCGCTCTCCTTCAGGCTGCTGCCTCACCTCTTCAGGTCTGTGCTGAAATGTCGCTCTGCAGAAGGCTTCCCTGGTCACTCTGCTTCAGCAGCAATCCCTACTACGAGCGCCCAGCTGCCCCACCTGGCCTCTTTCCTCCACCCCAATCGCACAGTGAGACCACAGGGTGCCAGCCCCATTCTCTCCTGTGGCCTGACGCCCCACTAGAGTGGCAGCTGCACGAGGAAGGAGGCTGCGGCGCGCTCACTGTCTGTCCTCAGGCCCTCGGCCAGGGGCCCGGCGCTGCCCTGCACTTCTCAGGGCCTGAGCCTTCCCTGGCAGGATGACGGCGGGGTGTCGACTGCGGGTCCTGACCCCCCCCCCCCCCCCCCCCCCCCCTCCCCCGGGGCTGGGCCCTCCCCGGGAGGGAGGAGGGGGGGGGCCCACGGGGGCCCCCCCCCCCCCCCCCCCCCCCGTCCTCTCCGCAGATGGTATCACGGAGCCATCAGCAGAGGAGACGCAGAGAACCTGCTGAGACTCTGCAAGGAGTGCAGCTACCTTGTCCGGAACAGCCAGACCAGCAAGCACGACTACTCCCTCTCCCTCAAGTGAGTACGCCCTGACCTGAGGCTCCAGCCCCGCGCCCAAGGCGGAGAGGCCCACGCTGGCCCTCCGGGAAACTCGCCAGCTCAGATTATTTCAAGCTTTAGTGTTTCAATTTAATCTCACTCTCCTGGGATACTGAGTTTTATGTTCACCATTTTTGTCTCTCCCGAAGAGGAGGAGCCTTTGCTAGGATTTCTATTAAATAACCAAGAATAGCTTTCACATCTGCCATGGCCCAGGGACTGTCTACGCTCCCAGCAGGCCTCACCTCCCTCAGACCTCTTGGGTCCTCTGGTAAGAAGCATGTCCCCGTCAGGTGGGACCCTGGCCGGCCCACGAGCGGGGCCAGGGTCAGGGCCAGCAGCGTGACTCTCGCGTGCCTCTCAGCGCAAGGATAACCACCTCTGGTATGTTCTAGGGGCTGTTTGTGCCCGTCTGAATTTTATGTGTCACAAAAGCTGTGAGGAAACCTGGGGAGAGCCTGGAAGATTCCTACTTGTGTTAGGACCTGGGACTGCTTTGTAATGTTTTTGATCCTCCGGGCATTGCTGTCTGTGTTGAATGAATAGAACCTAAAATTGAACGTTTTTTGATGAATGGTTTGAAAACCATTGTACAGATAGGGAAACCGAGACCCAAGGAGAGGAGGGTTTTCCAAGGACATAAAGGGTGAATTTGGGGTATAAACCCAGACTTCTGGCTCCCTCTCTGCTCACCCACTGTTATTAGCCCCGTGATGGACAGCGGGCCTGCTAGGATGCACTGTCAGGAGAGCCAGTGTGCAGGCCAGCCTTGCGCGCTGGGCTCAGGCAGCCAGGGAAAGAGAGACGGGCCTGCTCACTGCTCAGGCTGACACCGCCCAGGTGCGCAGCCCTCTGAGGGACCTGACAAAGCACAGAGCGTGGACAGGAAACAGGCATGGAAGTTTGCCTGGAGCGGGGAGGGTGTGCAGAGGCGTGATCAGAACCATGAGTTCTCTCAAGCACTGTCAGAAGGACCTGTCATGGTTAGGGGCTCCCCTGGTGGGGGAGCTAGGGGCTTGCCGTTTCTGGCTCAATGAGAGGAGAGATTTTCCCTCAGGGTGAATCAAGAATTAGTGCTATCCAAAACTGCTCCCGTCACTGGGAGTATGCACCCAGAGGCCGGACACCCTCCTTGCCAGGGAGGTCACGGAAAGCGGCTTCTGACCAGCTCAGAGGGCACTTGAGACACACCGTACTTGCATACTTCATTGTCCACCCTTAGACTCGAGGCTTTAGGAAAGAAACTTAATGTGCTGGAAGCAGCTGCCCCAGGAGCTGTGCTGGGAGTGGCCACGCCAGCAGCCTCGCACTGGGCCAAGATACAGGCAGAGGCGGAACCGGGAGCCCAGCCCTGTGCTGACACGGGCTGGGCTCCTCCAAGCAGCTCTGCCCCGCCATCACTGTCCCCTGAGCCCTGACGCTTGGTGTCTCCACCGTCCCATTAAAGGTGACGCTCGCTCTTCTGGGCCGGCAGGTGACTTCAGAGACATGTAGAGGGAAAGTGATACTGCTCTCCTTACCGCCAGAAGCATCTCCAGCCCCACCGCACAGGGTGAGGACCGGACTTCTGACGAGTCCTGTCCTGCCTCTCAGGGCTCACCATGCACCTTGGACGAGCGGCTCCTCCCCCCCAGGCCTCAGTGTCCACATCTGCCCGGTGAAGCTTTGTAGTGTAGCTGTTACCACATTCGCCTCACACATCTGCCCAACCAGAACTAGCCTTTGATGCTTATTAAAGGACCCTTGTGTCTAACATTGTGGTCTCGGCGCTCCTTGTTCCCGAGGGTGCCCTGGCTGGATGGCCTGGACCTCCTAGGCCACAGGGGGAGACTGAAGGCATAGCCTGGCTCCCTGGGCACGCATCCCAGTTAGGACACTGCCCTCAGGCCTGGCTTTGTCTACCTACTCCCATCCCGTCAGATCCACCATGTGGATGACGGGTCTCTGCCCAGCGGGACTTGAAGTGGAGGGTTTAGTCCTGCATGCTTGTCTGGAGCCATTAAATCACCACTCCCAAAGAATGGAGGGGTGAGAGCCCAGAATAGGGGCATGAACTTGTTTCCCAGAATGACCCCAGTGCCCAGTTGCACTGCAGGCCAGGGAGTGACGCCTGGCATTTATCTCCTGGGCTACAGATGGGCGGGCCTGGTACTGACTGTCCTGGCTCTAGGGACAGATGCCAGCTGTGCTGGTCCCCAGGTGAGTTGCAGGCCTCTCAGATCCCGTGGCCTGCCTGGTAGGGCCAGGACAGGGTGGGGAATTGGGGAATGGCATTCCCCATGCATGGTGTAGCCAGAAGCATGGTGCAAATCGACGTTGGAATTCCAGCTATGTTTTCATGTGAGCCTCGGGTCCTGTTGTTAGGGGTGTTTTAGGGTGGAGAAAGGATTTGGGGGAGTCTGGCCTCAGAGGACAGGACCTCCACCCTTTTCTGCAGGAGGTATTTATAAAGCCCTCCGTGCCAGGCACTGGGCAGGGCAGCTGCAGCACGATGCCAGGTGAGAACAGCCCAGCCTGAGCTGCAGGAACTCACAGCTTGGGCTGTCCCTGCCATGGCGGTTCAGGAGAAGCTGCAGGAAGGGGTGCACTGAGCCTTCAAGAGGGTAGGCGGCAAGCAGCCAAAGCCCTGGGGAGAGCTTTGGCAGGGGAGTTCAGACTCGATCAATTCTTAATGATGGGGCCACTGAAGTGCTGGCACCGCGCACGCTCACCTGACCCTGGCGACCTGCACAGCGCACATCTTTCCACCTTAGAAGGCCCACACATTTGTCTGAGGGCGGTCCCCCACCTCTCCCCCTCCGCTGCCAGAGGCTTGGGCAGAGGTCACCATCCTCTTCCTTATCTGAGGGAAGTGGCAGCTGAAAGACCTGCCAAGACTGGAACGGAGGCCAGTGGCCCCCCAACCCAGTGCCATCCACCCCCTCCCAAGCACCCCAACTCCCATTCAGGTGTGTCAAGAGACTTGTGTGGGCTATTATTTCCCTTTGCTTCGTGGGTGGGGACATTGAAATCCAGAGGGGATTCGCGGTTGACCAGAGATGAACAGCTGTTCTCACTGCAGGGACAGACAGAGCCCAGCACCCACCCAGGCTGCCACCATCTGCCCCTTCACTGCAGCTCCCTGCACCCATGGCCACCCCGCCCCACCCCGTCATATCTCAGACACCCCACCTGTGAAGAAGTGGTCTTCACCTACCGAGAGAGCCACGTAATTGCCTCTGAACACTGCCCCCCTCCCTTCTCCCTGCAGAACCCCGCCTGTGCCTGCCCCCCACGTGTGCAGCCCTGCCTGTAGGCACGCCCTCTCGCCTGTACCAACCACTGACCCTGGTACAGTCACTCCAGCCTCTGGGAAGCAAAGGGCTGAGCCTTCAGAAATTGGCCAGAAAACATCCCACTAGCAAGTTTCCTGTCTGGGAAGGCAGGCAGTAGGGAACAGGGGTGACAAGTCTTGAAAAATCTCATTAAAAGCGCTCTTCAGGCACTTTGGACCTTGAGTGACTCTTTGCAAGTTCTAGTTTCATGAGTCTTAGCACAGGAATCTGGACAAGATGAGGGACACAGAACTTCTGAGACTAGGGGTTTTGCTGTTGGGGGGCAGGGAGGGAGGTTGAGGGCCAGGGCTTCCCCCCACACCCATTCTGCTGGCACTGGCCTCAGCAGGGATGAGGGCCCCTGCCCCAGTCTCTTTAGGCAGCAAGAGCCTGATCTGAGGGTGGACAGAGCGCTGTGCAAACTGCACAGAATCCTTACAAATGTGGCCCAGATTCTGGCCTCATCAGGCGCATGTGGGGCCTCACCTATTTCCCTCAGGCTGCAGCCTGAGTTTGCTAATTCAGGAGCCCTCCTCAACTCCCCCTCCCCCACCCCCACCCCTAGCCTCATCATAATAAATTATTTAATGGACCCCAGTGCCTCAGCACTCCAGGAGCTTATAGCCAAAGTGAAGGAAGATCTTTTCACCTATAGCTCATATGCCCTAGAAAGTGGCTAGGGCACCCAGGCAGAAAATGCCCAGGATCTTGAATCCGGAAAGTCACAGAAGAGAGAGTGTGAAAGGATGAGCAGGTCTTGGGCAGAGAGAGGCAGCCCAGACAGAGGGCAGGTCCCAGAGGCCTGTGCAAGCGTGGTAGGACCGTGAGATCCTGGGGAGGTGCAGCCCGGGTCGCCAGGCTGAGGAGCTGGGACTTTACTCTGCAGGGGCATCCCAAGGTGTTGAGCAGGGTGCAGTCATGTTCTCAGCATTGTTTTAGTGAGCCAGGGTGCACCTTGTCAGGAGAAAATATTGCTTCTGCCTCCTTCTGCACCACCTGCCCATAGACGTGCCACTCAAGTTAGCCCCAGAGTGCCAGCGAGGGACCTCTTGTGAGAGGCCAGGAGGTGAGCAGCAGGCCCCCTGGGGGAGATCCAGGGCCCTTTTCAACATGTAAAGAGACAGGGCCTCCTTGGTGGCACAAGGGGTTAAGCCTCAGCACTATGAAGTCATCAGCAGCCACTGCAGCACAAGTTCGATCCCTGACCAGGGAGGTGACCCACATAGCACAGCAGACCTCTCCTGTCTCACCTGTTGCTCACCTTGGGTATGTTTTTCAATCAGTCCATCTGTTCTGCTCCCTACTCTGTCTCTGGTGAATCCTCTAACACCCCCCCCCATCTCTTGCCTGTACCCCAGTTCTTGTATGCCTAAATAAATAAATCTTACCCTACACCGGGACTCTGCTCCTTTGAGCTTTCCCAAAGCCTTAAGCGTCGCCACTGAGGCAGCAGGGTGGACAGAGTGCCTGGCCAGGTGCAGAGCCCTGGCAGCAAGTCCAGGCCATGCCAGCTGCTAGTTGACTTGGCAAGGGTCTTCTCCCTGCACCTGTGGAGTGAGGGTTTGGGTTTGCTTCCAGGTTAGGGACGCCTCGTTCAGGACGGGTAACTTCCCCCCAGTCCTGAGAAGGTGGGGGCGAGGCCACATCTCCAGGAAGGATCAAGAA